TTTAGGCAAATCCATCGTGAAAAAGATAGACGAAAAAATGAGCAACAAGAAAAAAAAAAGAAGCAAAACAAAAAACTTCCGGGATAAAATTTGTTAGACAAACTTTTTTTTTCCTCTCAACACAAAATGACGTTATGCCCTCCTAATCGCAAATACTTTTGCTTCTCTCGCCTCTATTTCACTGCACTTCTTATGTGTCTCATAAATGGATAAGATACAGAAAGGGAAAAAGAAAAGAGACGATATTTTAGGTACGAAAATGATAGATGCTGAAAGAGAAGTGAAAGATGTCAACAGTAACAGTTGACTTGTCTTTTTTTCTTCTCCCCTTTCCCTCTCCCTTCTCGTCCCATTTTCTGTTACGCACTGCATTCAAAGTTTTGCCTGTAAATGGTAGTGGTTTATGACCGGATATTAGAAGGTAACCGTTACTAAGCGAAAAAAAAAATGCCAAAGACAGAATACTTCAAAAGCGAGAGGGATGCAATTAATTTAAAAAAAAAAAAAAAAGAAAGAGAAAAAGCAAATGTAGAAGTGATACAAAAACTTCCGTAATATTTTATCAGTTGTAAATGTTTAAACACTTCAGAATGCAAAAAATATTTGTTTACTTACGCATATATTTGATGATAAAAACAAGCAGTTTTTCTTTTCAGTTAGAAAAATAAGAAATAGAATGAAGTAAAAAGAGAGAAAACTGTACTGAAAAGTGCAATAATAAAGGAAAATCTGTCTGGAATGTTACCACCAAATTAAGGTTTAAAGCTCAAAAAAGTTGCAAAAATAAAAAAAAAATTATATATTTTTTGTTCCTCTCGAGAAGTAAAAAAGTGCCAAAAAAAGAAAACTTTTTTCAGGCTTTGTTAGCCACAAAATTTATTCAGTCCCATTGTAACCTCCTCTTTCCATCCACTCTTTGAAAAAATAAATATAATAAATAAAAAAAAAGTAAAAAAAAAAGCGATAAAACTTTAAGTGATCATTATTTATTGCCCTCATATTCAGCGCTTAATATAAGCTGTGCAAGATGCTTTGTCAGAATACAAAATGACAAAAAGTTCACATTATTTCAACTCTTCATCAATTCTCATTCCACTGCCGAGACTTTGCAAAAGTTAGAAGAAAAAAGAAAAGTAAAAGAAAACTATAACAAAAATTTATGAAAAAATTCAATTGCCGTCATTGTCACCGTCACCATTTGCTATGTATCCGTTCCGCTTTTTCTTTCACAAACCATAACTTTTTTCCTTTTCACCTTCGTCAAAGTGAGGAAAAAAAAAACAGAAAGAAAAAAGAAAAAACTTATTAACATTGTCAATCGAATAGC